GCAATAAAACGGCAATTTCATACTTTAACCCCTAATATTTAACAATAATTTATTTTTATTAACAGTGATTGGAATTGAAATTGATTTGAATGAAAAAATTTGATGAACTGCCTCCGTGGCCGAACGGATACCATGCCGGAATGCCACGCAAAGGTCCCAGGTTCGATTCCCGGGCCGGGAGAAATATTTCTATGGCCTACATTTATTTCTCTCGTGAGTTTGGGTGTAATTTGTGGTTGTCTATGTGTGTGTCCATGACAACCGCAACACAGGGTTTCCCTAGTGCGGGGCTATGTTGATTGTGAGCGTTATTATTATTATTATTATTTACCTTTTTATTGACAGAAAGAAACCACAATAAAAAGATTTTCGTAATTAATTTGAAATATGTAAATAAGCCGTTATTAATTATTGAGCACAAGTTCATTTAAATTGTCAACTTTTGTAAGGTCATACATACATACATACAAACACTATATTTAGAACTATATTTATGAAAAACACAAAGCGGAGACATATTTTAAAGTTTTTAATTTTGATTCAATATAAATAATCAAATCCGAACATTCTTATTAAAATCTCGATACTAGTAGGTCAACTGTCAAAATAAGAATAACGAAGTATTGACCTAGTCAATGACCTGGTCAATGTAAAGAAGGCAATAACACTTTATAAATTAATTATTAATTAGTAATCATGAGAACGTCGTAACAATCACAATTAAATTTTTTATTGAATTGATATTCAATTATTTTTCATGTGAAATTACTCCACTAGTTTGTTATAATTATTAATACAAAGATCGGACACTCAGAAAAAATTCCTTCGATCCTTTCGGATTCGAACTGACATCTTCTAGCATACCTTGACAAAATACTTAAGATTTCTCATAGATGATGCTACGACTAAAAAGTCGTTGAAAAACTAAACACAACACGACAACAAACACACAGAAAAATTCGTGATGTCCGCTGGTTCGTTCCATGGCTTAGTTGGTATAGCGTCTGGCACGGTATGTTAAAAGCATCAATTCGAATCCGGCCGAATCGAAGGATTTTTTCTGAGCGTTCGATCTTTGTATTCATAATTATTCAGAATCCAGTCATTTTTTGAAAAATTTTGTCTTGTTTCACATTCTATCGATAAAACTATCGACAACAACTACATAACTATTTTAAACTTTATGAAAACTGGCAACCCTACAAATGTCATTTTATTCTGTGTCTTCCGTTATGGCACATCTTTTTTAAAATTGGTGAAAATTCTTTCAATATTCTGCATACGCAGAGCTTGCTTTTCTATTAAACTCTCTATGACTGATTTTATCTGAAAGAAATGCACATAGATATTGTTGATTTAGCTAGGTGTTTATGAAACCCATGTAGGTATGTGCGCCTTCTCAATTTCTTGTGAGACCCGCTGGTGGGAGGCCGGAAAACCCACTCGCTACCAAAATAAAGATCTCCAAAACACACAAACCTAAACTGATATACTGATGCTGATTACTGATGATGTACTGATGCTGATGTATTGATGCTGATGTATTGATGCTGATTACTATGATACTGCTGCCGATAATCTAATAATGCTGATAGCTGATGATGTTGATGATGTGTAAAGTGGACCTAACTTCCACGTTGCACTGATATTGTACCTCGTGCGTCGAATTTACGTTAAAATATCACGAAAATTACAAGGATCCGGCTCGAAGGACCGAAAATATGTACGGTTTGTTAACCTTTCAATGATAAGAGTTTGATAGAATGTGAAAGTTTATTGCTAAAAGAACTGCTAAAATGATAACTGATAGAGAATATGCGATGGCTTGCGAGTAAGTTTTAGAACTAAAGTGCATTTCGTAATTTATGCATTTCTGTTACATTGACCTAATAACCTGTCAATGGCGCAATGTGCTTATCCTACAAAATGTACATTCGTGTATCGTACAGGTACAATACAAACAATTATTACAACATTTAGAAACCACTAAGGTTTGAATTAATGCTGTATGCTGCCTACATCGACAGTACACAAATCATGCTATAATAAATTATACTATACACTGTATTATACTCTACCATATAATTATATTATATTATATATACTACACTATAATAAAGTATTCTTAAGCAAAAACGAAAACAATAGGCAACTAGGGCTATGGTAAGGGCGCATTTATTCGACTAATTTCATCGCGCTCGCGCATCGCTGCGTTCCGCGGCTACATAGCAAAGTACGCTCTATTTGTTTAGTCTTTACGTTTTAACTTAAATGAGCGTCTCGGGCACGCGGGCGAGTCTGGCTTGAATTTGGTATTTGTATTATTCAGAGGAATTTAAACGTTGTTGCCTAGGAAATATAATTCAGATTCGCCATTAATGTACATGAAGGCGTGGTAACTGGACGCTAATTGTGTATTATCTCAACGCCATGGAGCAGATCTTACATTAAATAAAGACTAACAATATTAAATGCGAATTGAACCTTTACGAATAGACGCTAAAGTTAACATTTTCTATATTAATATTTTTCTTCTTAGATCGGGTGCAGTTGATGTCAGAGATTTACAATTTAGAGTAGCTGTTTGCATACCTAAGCCTTGCACCATAAGACAAGCGTTGCCCAGTCTCATTGGAACCCAGTTGGTAAATTACCAAGAACAATTTTGCCGGTTCAAAAACGACAAACCGTGGTCACCAGGGGTTTATGTGGCTATGTAAGTATCTGGTTTTATACTATTTCAACTCTAACTTCATCGTATTTCGTAAATTCAAGTATAAAACAAATACTGTTAGATATTATACAGATGTTTATTAACAATTAAGATACCACATTTTTGGCAACAATGTTACTTATTTATTTTTCATTATCAAAAATAGATTGGAAATGGTCTAGAATAAATCACGTGTGTGTAATTACGCATTTATCAATAAGGCATTTTGTTTTTCAGTATTGTCTTCAGTTTATTTGGTTTCCTGGCCATTCTTAGTACCAGTTACGATATCTGGAATACTGTTATTAAAAAACGAGGTAACATTTTATATTATACCAGTAACAGCAGGTTACATCACACAGGTGACACAAAATATAACCTGTTCATGTCTCAGACAACACGAACAGTGCTAAGATTTTGTTAAACAAGCCTATTAAAGCAATTTCCGAGTTCAAAAAAAGAAGACGGTTATACGTTCGGCTGTATGCATGTTTTATGTATGTTGTCAAATAACTCCATTAATTGTGGACAGATGTAAATTTTTTTATTTTATTTGAAAGGGTGCACACTGTCCCATTTAATGTGACAAGATGTAATGTTATCTGAGCCTCACTTGATTTTTTTCATTCATTTCATTCATTCATTCATTCATTCTTCACTTTTCATATCCAGGCACTGATACGATTATACGCATGAGATCATTATTTGTACAAAATTGCATTTATCACATTTACAAATTCTAAGTATATAAAGGAAATATTTAAATTATGAGCTTTGTTTCGTAATTATTGTTTTTTTTTTAATTTCAGATCCCAAATCTCTCAATACAGTTTATCAATCGTTCTCAGTATACACAAATTCTCGTCGACTCATCACATATAAGCCAGTTCGTGGTGCTTTAGAATGTGTCGATGGTATCAGAGCATTAACTATGTCTTGGATTCTATTCGGGCACACATATAATAGTCTTCCACCAGTCATAAATATTGTGGACCTGTTTCTGGTACTTTGTTATTTATTATCATGAGCAAAATTCCTTCCATAACACTCTATTAAAATAAAATATACATCTGCTTTCTACCTGATAATGATGAAAGCCGTGGTAACCTAATGCTTTGACCTACCGCCTCTCAAGCAGACGCCGTAGGTTCGAATAACACCTCTAAGTTTCTCGGATTAATGTGTGAAATTGAATTTGAAATTTACCATGAGCTTTTCGGTGAAAAGAAAACATTGTGATGAAACCTTCACGTCGAGGAAGGTTCACAACCCTTGCAAAACGTGTTAAGTCCCCAACCGGCATTGGGCTAGCGTAGAGGACAAAGACATAAACACTTGCCTGAGAGGAGGAATGTATAAATGGGTTAATGATGATTTCTACCTGATATATCACTACACACAATTACTGTTCTATAGCAATACAATTACAACTGAATTTGTGGCTGCGTTCACTGTTTATAAACATAAATTCCTGTAACGGAACCAATGCCCAATATCTCTACAGCAAATTAGCGTTCTACATATTTTTTATTGCCGCATAATGTCTGCCTAGTTTAGTAATTATCAAGTTTCATTAAGTCGTCCGACTGACCGTTTGTCTAAATATTTTATTATTTAAAACAAATTTTTCTTAGCCAAGTCATCTGACTTGATTACAAAATTCATCAATAAATTAATTTCGTCATGCTCTATTGCAGACGGCTTTTTCATCTCGTTCATTTTGGTTGACTTCAGCCGATGTTAGTGTGGACACATTTTTCATGCTAAGCGGTTTGCTGGTCGTCTACACTTTTGTTGGAAAAGTTAGCGGCAGTAAGTAATTAATTCAAAATCCTGTTTTTGATTTTTTTTCAGAAATTAACCTAAACATTTTTGTATTAAATTTTTTTCTTAAAAATGTTAATAACCTTTGTGGCGGCTTTAGATTTGGATTTTGCATTTATTGTATTTTATGGTTATAAAATACAATAAATGCAAAATCAGGAAGTCAAGTTGGAAAAAAGGTTTTTTTGAGTGTTTTTCTTTAATAATTTATCACTAACCCTACTACTAGAACTGAAGTTGGTTGTCATGGGCGAACTGAAGGCACAACTCGAGAAGCTCGCGACACAAAATGAGTCACTATTTTGGGAGAACATGGAGCTCAAAGCTAGACTATCGGATGAACCTCCCCGCGCAGGCCTCTCCATCTTCGAAGCTCAGCAACCATCACCCGCCAGCCACCAGCGGCATATGGTGATCGCCCCGCACCTTTTAACAATGAGTTGGTCCCCATCATTGCTCAATTGCAGGCGCTCAGCGAGCAAGTGGCGGCTTTGTCTACACGCCATTCGCGATCAAGATCCAGCTCTCGCCGATCTTGCCCTAGACCAAGGTCCGCGACGCCTCACGGCTTGTGCTGGTACCACCGTCGGTATCAGGGCAAGGCTGTCACATATATCCAGCCGTCCTCCTGGTCAAAATTCAATGGTCGCCACCTGTTTGTCGCTGACAAGGTAACCAAATTTAAATTCTTGCTTGACACCGGTTCCGACCTTTCCTGTTTCTCTCGGAAACTTCTGTCGACTCAATGCAAAGTTTCCGATTACACTGTTAGTGCCGCCAATGGCACCAGTATAAAACCGTACGGCAGTCTCATATTTTCATTATTATTATTATTTTTTATAAAATATAAGTGCACATTTGACCTCCATCTCATCTGATAGAAAGTGACGATGAGGTCGACGATGGAGCATGCACACCTAAATAATGTCTATTCACTCTCGCTATCATTCAGGGAACAAGTCTGCAGACAGGGAATTCCACTCTATAGCCGTTCCCCATATAAACGTGGAAGCGTAACGCTTCGTGCGAATCTTTGGAATATTCACAACATAATGGTAGAACCCAAGCTCGGTGTCGGTCTCCGTCGCAAATTTCGATGGAATTTTACTATTGCAGACGTCGAGACAGCTATCATTGGCTCGATTTTCTGGCCTATTTCAATCTACACCCGGACAGCCGTAACAAACTGTTACGAGATGGTTCTACCGGACTTTCTGTTCCTGCCTCCAACTGTAACATAACTCAACTCAGTGTTAAGGCCGTGGTTTCTGACAATGAATTTGCACGCCTTCTTTTAGACTTCCTGGAAATTACCAAATCCCCTGGTCTTCCGAGATTCGTCAAGCATAACACTCTGCATTACATCAAAACCACAGATGGCCCGCCAGTTACTTGCCGGCCCCGTCGTTTGGCCCCTCAAAAACTGCTAAAAAACAAATTGAAGAGATAGTGCGCTCCGGTACTGCAAGGTCTTCAGATAGCCCGTGGTCGTCTCCACTGCATTTGACCTTGAAAAAGGATAGCACCTGGCGCCTTTTCGGTGAAAGCCTGTACGCCAGGACCATTCCGGGTCGTTACCCGGTGAGGCATATTCATGACAGCAGCCTCAGTGGAGCCACCAGTTTCAGCAACCTTGACCTGGTAAAGGCTTATCATCAAATTCCTGTGGCAGAAGAGGACATTCACAAGACGGGTATTACCACTCCCGTTGGCCTCTTAAATTTTTAAACACGTTTCATTCCTCAGGCAGCTAAATTTCAGGCTCCCTTAATTGACGCTGTCGTCTCTACCAATGGCAAAGGCGCTAAACCATTCTCATGAACGCCGGAGCTTCTGGAGCATTTCGAAGCCTGTAAGGCCAGCCTATCTAGTGCCACGTTATTGCAACACCCGATCATGGATGCACCTCTTGAGTTATTTACCGGTGCATCAGCAACAGGTGGACGGTGCCTGGAATCCCCCTCGCGTTTGACTCGTTGGCAAGCTCAGTGGCCTGCTTATTATTGGGAATTGCTGGCGGTGTACGAAAGCGTACAACATTTTTGCCACATTCTCGAAGCATAACACGTGTCTATTATACTGACCATAAGCCACTGCTGTACGCTTTCGTACAACGTCGTGAAAAATTGCCTCCACCGCAACTGAACCAGTTATTTTTTGTTAGTTAATTTTCAACTGATATTCGATATGTTAGGGGTGAAGATAACATCGTCGCGGACACCTTATCCCACACCGAGGCGATTTCACTTGAAGACTATTTCGCCGCACTAGCTCAGTCTCAAATATCTGACATAGAGTTGGCAAAAATGCAAGAAGGATCGGCTTTGGAATTCGAACAGGGTTTGATCCCGGGCACCAACATCATTCTAATATGTGATACCTCAACCGGTCACCCTCGACCTTACCTCACTTCGCCGTTCCGTCGAGCTGCTTTCGACCGGTGCCATAATCTCAGCCACTCTGGTGCATCTTTGCGCTTGGTAGCAAGTCGCTACGTATGGCCTAGCATCAACAAAGATTGTCGTGAGTTACGTTACTGCATTTAGTGCCAGAGAAGCAAGGTATCGCGGCATGTTAAATCATCTGTTGGTTGGTTTGATCAACCGACCAGTCGATTCCGTCATCTGCACATCGACATCATCAGCCCACTTCCATGTTGTAACGGTTTCAATTATTGTTTAACCACCATACATCGTTACACACGGTGGCCGGAGGTTTGGCCGATGGCGACGATAACTGCAGAAGAAGTTTTCGACAAATTGGTATCAGGATAGATAGCCCGTTTCGGTGTTCCTAGCATCGTCACCACCGATCAAGGGCGTCAATTTGAGTCGGCGACTCATGGATTTCTGCGGAGCGAAATGAAATTCGCACCACCAGTTACCATCCTTACGCCAATGGCAAGGTGGAACGCCTCCATCGTCAGCTCAAGGCAGCTCTCACGTGCCACGATGGTACGTGGACGAGAGCGTTGCCTCTGGTGCTCCGCGGCATGCGGACGGCTTTTAAGGATGACATCAATGCGTCATCAGCGGAACTCGTTTTCGGCGAGACCGTCGCCTTCCTAGCGAGTTCATACTGCTCCTCCTAATTTAATTAGTCCCGCAGAGACGTCTGATTTAATAACCCAACTGAGACGTGTGAGAGTCAATTTGGCTGGTTACTGCATCTCACCACGACAAGCCTTCGTCTTTTATATTTAAGGATTTGTCTACGACCGCCTACGTCTTTCTTCGGGACGATATGTCTCGAAGATCGCTGCAACTGCCGTACTCTGGACATCACCGCGACCTCGAGAGAAGGGACAAGACAATTTCGCTAGGTGACGGCGGAAGGACAGTCACTGTGTGAAACCTGCGCACATCGATGCTGATGCTATCGATGGCTTCCGATCCCCACCTGCCGTGGCACCGGCTAGGTAGCTACAGTCCCGCCGCAGTTGCCGTCTTCAGTTCCCCCAGACAAACCAACTACCTCCTTGCCCGGCACTCCGTACACGACCCGATCAGGAAGGCACGTGCGTTTTAAAGATTTTAGTGATTTTGTTCAATAGGTTATTTTTTGTTTTTATGTTCGGTTTCTTCACACCGTGGGGGGTGGTGTGACGGCTTTAGATGCCGCCTATTATCACCAGCTCGCTATGGCAGTCTTTTTGGACGAGAGTCGCCAAGGAGAGTGTCACACTTGCCAAAAATATTCCTTAGTTTTTTGGTTACGGAATTTTCATGTCAGCGGTTGGAAATTGTTTACTCGTTTTGACAGAAGTGATTTGTAAAACTACGATAATGTAATTATGATCATAATTATATCGGTATTCACGAAGTCCACGAGGCCGTTTTATTGTTCGTTAGGGGAGCGATAAATTCCCCAAACCTTGGTGTCTATTTGAAACTTAGATATTTAACATCTTACTTTATTTTTGTATTAAATCATTATTTAAAAATGTTTGAAAACATAATAATCATTCACTATACGATAGTTACCTATGCTTAAGGATAGTTTACAAAATTATACGGATATTTTGACATTGTGATCCAAAAGAAAAGACGCTAAAAATGTATTTAGGAGTCCGTGGTGCATTTCCATGAAATGAGTTATCTAACTTATTATGGAGTGCTTTTGATGCACTTTGCAATGGTACCGGGTTTGTCACTAAATCGAAACTATGTTTCACTAGATATCTCATTTTACGTAAATTTACAAACCCTGTTGGGTTTTGTCTTGGAATTTTTGATATAGGTACTGTATCTGAACTTACTCCGTGTTGTATTCGAGTTGTCACCAGTTTTTTCAGACCTATGACTGGCATATTCGATAGCGCGTTACTAAGTAAATGACTAATAAATTTTTTTGGAAACGTTATGAAAATATTATCCTCTATTCTTTTCGAAAAACACAATATTATTCACTTTTACGGAAATTATAATTGCTGGAGGAGCTTCAAAGACCTACTGAGATGCTTGGTTTAGTTTTGCAATTGTTTGTTCCTATTCTCTGCAAAAATGTAACGTTTTTTTCTAACTAATTTTCATTATTCATTTCGAATGTTTTGCAGTGAAACTGATAAAGAACCTCCATCTGTTTTATCTTAATCGATATCTACGGATGTTTCCTGTACTAGCCGCTACCATATTGCTGCAAGTTGGTGTACTACATTATGTTTATGATGGTGCCCAGTGGCATCGAGTAGCTTTACAAACTGATTACTGTAGGTCAAGCTGGTGGTTAACATTGCTTTATGTGCAAAATTTTTTCCCACCATGGGTACGTATTTACGTTTTTTGCAAATGTGTTATTAAATAAAAAAGTAAATAATGTTATACGAAATTTCGGAATTCTTAGCATTTTGTCTTAAAATAGAACTTAATCATCTATTTGAGCTTGGAAATGATATTTTGTGACTCTTATTAATCTGAATGTAATACGTTTATCATCGTATATTGCGACATAGGCAACGTAACGTTGTTACGACTACGAGTATGTCGCCTATGAATATTTAACTATTTCATAATATTTACATTTGTGTTTAATATTTATTTATTTTATTATGTTTATTTTCAGTGTATTGGTACTTCCTGGTACTTAGCAATGGATATGCAACTACACTTAATATCCCCGTTGATATTATTTTGGGTTTTATCAGGCAAAAAAACTCGCGCCTGGTCGGGTTTGATTGTTGGATTGTTAGTTATTCTCACTGCGTCCTCAACTTATATCTACATGAATAATTTCGTTGGTTCTTTAGTACGACCTGGGTAAGATAATATATTTACAAATTGAATTATTAATATTATTGTTCAATATTCTAAATAGATTAATTAGGTACCACGCTTGATTCATATTGCCAAGACACAATGAAATAAATAAATAAACGCGATGCGGCGCGACGCGGCCCGTCGCCGCTTGCTGCAGCTTCGTTTTAATTAAATGAAATGTTGTCTTATTTTGTCGAGGATAAAGTTTATGTTGCATTGCTCGTTTTAATAAGCGACGCGCCGCGTTGTGTTGCGTCTTGGCAATTATGAAAAAATAGTGCCACTACACAAGGCGTATTTTTAACTCGTAGTTGACGTGCAGGTAGCGCGCGTTAACGCGATTTAAACGAAATTCAGTTCCTGCCAACATAAACATTTGCGATTGCTTACAAATTCAGTGGCGCCGTTAACGCATGTCATATGCGTGTATAAAATAAGCCGTGTCAATATGCGCTATATGGCAATAGATACGCGCTGGTCGTCCCTCGTTTAAACAAAAACGTTCACGCAAAATCTTTCTTTGAGTTGCTCCTCACAAGTATCACAATGGTGTCGGTCGAGATAATTCTGCTTACGCTGGCTTTATCACTACTTTAAAAAAAATCATGAAAATACCCGACTTTTTTGGATGGATGAAAGAAGGAAGGCGACATCCCGTGTATTCTATGACCCAGTGTTTTTGATAACGTGCGTTAAGGAGACCTATCAATACTTGCGATTCATTATCGAAGCATTAAAAAAGGTAATTGAGTACAGGCTGTAAGCTAGGGTTATAAAGTTGATATAGGTTACATTTATAATATTGTCC